CTGATTTTACTGCACTGAATTACAAAGGCTGCTTTACCCAGCTGGCCAGGTGTCCTAGGTGACAAGCCAGGCCTTGGGGGCAGTAAGTGGCCAGGCCTGTCCTGTCTCTTTAGCTCTGTGTATTGTCCCACTACAGACAAGGTGCATTTTGAATACCTTGCTCCTGTCCCGTGGGTGGCCTACCCTGTGTTATTCCAGGGAATAAATGCATGCAGAGTGTTACCGCTTTGCTTCCATCCCAGCTACAGAATTATTGGAAAGCGGGGATTTTTGTGCCTCTTCTGGAGAAAGGGCTATCTGCATCGTATTGGTTGGTTGTCTAAAAAGAAAAACTACCTCAAAACCACACGGAGAAACAAATCTACAAAAGGAGCAAACAGATTAACATGTGCTCGTGGAGTTGATAAATAATCAATTGCTTGAATAACAGCGTGAAAACTGCAGTGTGCCCCAAGCAGCAGCTGGTTTGGATGTATGCGAAGGACAGATGCGTTGTCCCTTGTAGTCCCCTTCCTCCCCTCTTACAAACCCAGCTTGAAAGGGCGCCCAAGACGCCTCTGAGTGCTTTGGAAGCCGGGCGAGCTTGAAGTGTAAATGAAGGGTCAAAGTGTTGGCTGAGACTTGTTTCCACGTAGGCCCGGAGCCGCGTGCCCTGCGTTCAAAGTGACTGGATTGCAGCAGTGCCCTGCGGGGTGTCACGCACCTACCCGACTGGGACAGCAGACAGTGCCAGACACGCCATCAAAGAGAGCATTTAAAGGCATGTCAAGGATCTGTCGTCTGATTACCTGTTACGTGCATGTCTTGAACTTTCCGCGGTTGTTTTTGAGTGTATTCATCACTGATGGCTGATCCAGGCACGAACAAACAAACAAAACTACCCAACTGCTAAGGAATTGGTGTTCTTACAGTTAGACTTGCAGCATCAGCGTCCCAAAAAGGGGCCCTTGCACCACTGGACTCATGTCCTTCTGGTGACGTCCTCTTCTCCTTACCTGCATTTACTGACTCTTTACTTACAGTCTGTTTTTGTGACCTTCTCCTTTGACAGCTGAAGAGTTAGAGACGGAGCAGGTGTTGCATGGATATCCAAAAAAAAGTGAGCAGAACATGTATGTGTTAAAGTTTATGTGTTTAAACTAATGTTGGTGCAGGTCTAATGCAGGTGCTCGATCGAAAGGAAAGGAAGAGCTTTAAGAAATGGTTGGGAAGGAGCCACACTGGAAGCGGACGCAGATTTCCTAGGCAGCAGGACCTGCTCGGGCTCGTGCAAACGCCTCGTCCCCTTCTTCTCTAGATACACCAAGCCCTTAGGGTTTTCATGATAATGTCTCTCATTCTGCCTGTGAAAGGTTAGAGGGAAAATATGTGTAAGAGCTATATCGGGGGCCAGTGTAGATTGTCAGGGTTATTGAAATCTACTGTTACAGAAGCAATAATTCCGCACAATTACGGCTGGTTTTAGATTGAAACGGCAAAGCCGCAAGCGCGTGGTGTTCAGATAAGGTTGGTATTGCACGAACTGAACACTGTCCTGACGTCCTGTGGAATTTCCTTCTTTTAAGTGAGCAGAAGGCTCTTCTGATGTGGGTAACAAGTCAGTGAGTCACAATCATGTGCTTTTGCTGTATATTTTTTGTAATAACTTCATGTCTGCTGGCGCTGTCCAGCGGTGCAAAAATCCAGTGGAAATCTGCTGGAAGCTGAGAAGAGCTGCTCCCTGCAAGCCCTTAGGCAGCAGCCTGAAAGCTGTGAGGATTCAAGATGTTTCTTTAGCTCCTCGAAAGGCTTCTCATACTAAAGATTTGACCTGATAGCCGTAAGTTAACGCAGTCCTGCCTGGAGCTCCTGATCCCTTCTTGAACTGTTGGGCTGGTGATGACCAAAGGAAATAAACGACTTTCATCACTCTCAGGATGTGGAAAAGAGCCGCTGTGCACCCAAAGATGTGCCCAAGTGGGCAAGAGCTGACTGGGGCAGCCATAAGCACAAGGTATTTTTCCACCCAGAAGGATTTTTTTTAGGTAAATGCAGTATCTCATTAAAATAACAATTAGAATTTGGGGGGGAAAAAACTCCTTTGCCTGCGGAGTGTTTTTATAGATGAGGTAAAGGCATCTCACTTTCCCTGTCCTTGCAATGATGGTGCGAGGGGTAGGATGGTGGGTGGGATGTGCCTGATGCTGCCTCATTCGCAGAATCACCCCTAGGAAAACAGTTTCATGTTTGATCTGAGTTCCTCCGAGCCCTGACAGATGTGGAAGGCATCGCCTTTAGCTGCTGCTCGGGTTGTGGGCGCAGACTGCTGTGTAACGAGGAGAGGAGCAAGGAGGAAAGGCGTTACGCGAGGAAGCAGGAAGAGCAAGACGCAGTGGGAAGGATGTAAAGGAGAATTCCAATCACCACGAGGTGGGAGGTGTAAAAATTGGACCACTTTAGTGTGCCCAGCCAGATGGGACATCACGTGTGCTGTGTCCAGCCTAGAGGCACCTCCTTCCGATTGGTTTGGTAGGCCCAAGCAATATGATTTGGTGAGTTTTTCCTCATTTTTCCCTGCTCTCAATTGCTGATTTTCGCTCAACTCAAGAGGTATGAGACAGCCGCTCTCAAAATCAGCTGCTGTTGGCCAGAGGTTCAGGTGTCTGGTGGCCTGCGAGTTCAAGGTTGGAAGATGTGACCGCACCGTTGCTCTTGTGCTTCTAGGGGATGGAGTGGGGACAAACTGGAGCTTCCAGCTTAGTGCCCGGTCTCTGTTCCTCTTCCAGCTCCTACCTCGAAGATATTATTATTATTATCACTTTCTTCCTGTGGCTGCTTTCCATTTACAAAACTCTTATTAGATTTTTTTGCCTCTTTCTTTTCACAGTTCATTGGATCAGTTCTTTCATTTTTCTGTAGTTTCTGAAATATTCTGGTCTCTCTCTTTTTGGCTTGTAAATGGCCAATTGCTTTGAGACAGGTAATTAAAATGCATGTGAACTGCCTTTGAATTGGTAAGCATGCGAGTTGAAACATTTCCCATAACGTTCTTGGCTTCTTTGGAAAAATGATGGTGCGGTTCCAGGAAATGTGGTATTTCACACCGAAAATAACTGAATTTAAAAAATGAGAAGTAAAGAAGAGGGAAAATAAGATAAGGAAGAGAAGATGGGAAGAGAAAGGAACATAGAAAAGAATGTAGAGATTATGACCTAGACTAATAGTTCAGGCAGGATACTGGCCATACTCAGTCAAATAGGACTCAAATATGACGGTAATTCCAGATTTCTGCAGGCAATTTTACATAATTGACTTATATAAGTAATGCTAGTCAAATTGATTTGTAACACAGTGAATGTGTCCTGTTGACACTGACTTCGGTGAACTAGCAGGGTCCAGAAATCTGCAGCTCATCTTGTGTCTACACTGAAAGCTCTGATTACTCTGATTATTTTTATTTTATGCTTTAACTCTCACCTCTTTGACTATATCACTCCCTCGTGCATTGGTATATGGTATACAGTATATGGTTACATCTCTAGCTGCCGCACAACTTGATCATCGCTTTAAAAATTTCATTTATATCATTGTAGCAGCTGAGTCCTGTTTGGGCCTTGAGATCTCTAGCTGTCAAGCACGCGAATAGGAAACGCACTTGATGTACCTGGTTCGGCATGATGATTACTAGAACAAAGGGTTTAAGTTTCAAATAAGAAATTTGGACTCTTATTTTAGCACCGATCACCAAATACGCTTAAATTTATCTTGCTTTTTAACTGTTGAGGCAGTGAAGCTAGACTCTATGCCTTGAAGTCACATAACCTCATAAATGTTAAAATGTTAAAAGCTCCATTCCAGAGAAAACGTCATAAAAATAAGGCTGTACGGGACTGGGAAAGGTCATTCTTGTCGCTGCTTTGCCTCCAGGTACCGTCACCGAAACCTAAATCTGTAGCAGGTAGTGGAGCTGCTAAGTGCTTCAGTGAGGAGCGATTTGTAACAGCCCTGGATAATATGTTGCTGCAAACGCATGTCGCTTGCAAACAGCTTTCTTCCACTACGTGTGCTTTGATTTTCTCTCACATTGGCCACTTTTGCTAGCCCTTAGGTTTTTACTGCTCGTGAGGTGTCTTTACTGATCATGTAGTGTCTCTATACCTCTAACGTTCAAAGATTTTTAGTGCATTGTTTAACAATTTGTAGCTTTGGGATCATTTAGACTTTGTCAGTGATGACAGACCAATGAGCAAAATATCTTTTTGTTTAGTTTAATTATCCCTCTCTGTTGCCTGTGATTTTTGTAGAAGGGCAACATAAAAGAATGAAGGTAGTGAGAGAAACTCAACTCTTAGAAAGCAAAACCTCTCAGTAGAGCACTGGGGAAAGTTTTAGTTATCCTCTCAATTCAATGCTTTTGATACCCTATTAATTCAAGTTGGTCTTTAAGCTTGAGCAGCAATGGTCAATGCTACCCGATTTTCTGTCCTGGGGTACGTTTCAGTATTGGGATGATGTCTCTGTTTTATTCTGTGCAATACTCAGTGGACTAGTAAAATCTTTCTGAAAAGCACAACCTTGGAGCTTGGGAACACAAGATTCTAAACATGAAAGATTTCAGTCACTGTCAAATTGGACTGAAAACCAAGAATTGTTCCCTTGCAATATTGTTTTAAATACGGAAATGCTACATAGTATTTGATACTATATCCATATCTGTAGAGATCACTTTCCTTTTACAGCTAGTAAACCGTGTGTTGGGAATCTAACTGGTAGGTATGAAGTGTTTTAGAAATAGAAGGCATAAACAAACAGCAATTGTTTGCTTTTTTTTAAAAAAAAAAAACACACACACACACAAAAAACACAAAAAATCCTATTGCATTTACTCTACTATGTAATAAAGTGTTATAGAACTCTGCACTGTTTTTCCTAATCATGGTCAAAGCTGTTTGTATAGCGAAATGAGTTTGATGACAATCTTTACGTGGAAGCTGTGTATAACCCATTTTCTCATTCAACAGGCTGTCAGCTGTAAAGGCCAGCATAGCATCTCCTACACGTTATCCCGAAACCAGACTGTCGTAGTGGAGTATACTCATGATAAAGATACAGACATGTTTCAGGTAAGAAGACCCTATTACAAAATAATTGGTTTTTAAAGAGCAATGCTGGGTGTTCTCTCTGTTCTGAGAAAACTTGATGGCCAAACTCTGTTGCTCCTGTTTGTGAGCACTCTGAAATTTTGCATTGTCTCGTCTCTGAAACCACTGCCAGCAGCTGGTAACATCTGTATTACTGCTACTTTCTAGTTAAGCAAGGAGCTGGAGTGAAAAGTGATTAGAAATAGGACATGGGATAGGGAAGGAGGAAGGGTGGGAGGAAGATGGAAGAGATGGAGGAGCTGTGCCCTGAAGGAGACAACCTGAGAGGCTGTGGAGATATTCAAGAGCTGCCTGGACTGGGTCTTAGACAACCTGCTCTAGGTGGCCCTGCTTGGACTAGATGGTCTTGGAAGGCTCCTTCCAACCTCAGCTGTTCTGTGAATCTAAACCGATGAAGAAATAGTAAGGAACATCCTGTTTCTGAAGGTTGTATAAATACATCAGTGGTGTAGGGGACTCTGCTGTGGGTTTCTCTAAGCTGCTTTTATGCAACATTTGCCCATGAACGCATTCAGGTTTTTTACATCGCCTGATATTCTCATAGCCCAAGTTATTCTCTTACACCATGCTTTTTTGATGGATCATCTGAGAGATGAGAAACTCTGTGCCACCTTAAAACTTCAAGCTGGAAAGAACAAACACGTGCAACCTTTTCCCATCCAGACTAACCATGTTTGTCTTGTCCATGATCTCTGTAATTGGAGCATCTTATCCTGAATTATCCCTCTTCAGTCCCTCATATTTTCAAGTTTCAGCAGTTGAGTGGTGCTGGCAGAAGAATTCAAGATGTAAATATTCTTCCTTCATGTGGCTTCTATGTGTTTATTTTTTTATTTATTTGCTCCTTGTAAATTTTCCCAGTGTGACTTGGTAACCTGTGATTGATTAAATCCAAATAGTGATTGATAAAAACCAATCTTGTTTATGTGCTGCTGCCTGAATGGATAGTTAGAAAATACCATACAGCTGGAGTGAACTGCAATAGGTTTTCTGTGTTGACTAGCAGTTGGAAAATGAACCCCAGAAGGATGAGTTACTGTGATATTTGTATATCTCTCTGCAAGATTTTAATTATCGTCTGCTCCGAGTTGCTCCTGTGAAACTCTCTGTATATGTTAATAATTTTGAAAACTGGATTTTTTCCACTACTTGTGTATACTAATGTAAATAAAAGAGTTGCTGAACAGCTGCTCTTCTGTTTGTGGTGGAGACAGCTCTTCCTCATTGCCCAATACCCTTGTGGTGGCTCCAGCATTTATTTTGGGGGGTGTCAGTAAAAAATGAAGGCTTTGGGGGTCAGTTGTCATGCTAGTGAAACCGGGCAGCTGGAGGCCAGGAGGAGCAGCCCAGGTGAGCAGTGCTCCACAGCCTGTGGTTCGAGGCACTTGGCTGAGGTCCTAGGCAGAGGGAGCTAAAGATAACCAGGATTTTGGTGTTAGTGTGGAATAGGCTGGTTAACGTTTCTTCCCCCGTTCCCCTTTGGGATTCACTGACCTTTTAGTCAGAAGGAATTTGCCGCTGAGATGGCTCAGGGTGCCCTGCCAGACCCAGGGACTTGGTTGGCACTGCAGTGGGAAGCAGGAAGCTCCTGGAGGTGACAGGAGCAGAAAGGCCTGTGCTGTTCCCTGGCTTGTAACGGAGCCGCGGGATTGGCGCCGCTCAGCACCCACGGGAAACCTGCGGAGCCGACAGCAGGGCCAGGGAGAAATCAGGAAGGTCCTGAAGAGCAGCGGTCAGGCTGTCTGTAGATAAACACCAAATCCATCACAGCTCTCCACTATGGAATGAAGATCGTTGTATTTCCATGCCTAAACCTGCCAGTTGTTAATGGGTTTAAATCCCCCTGTGCAGCCCCTGCCTGCTGGCTGCTCTTTGGTATCCGTTCAGTTTGTGTGCTCAGGTACTGCAGGAGACAGTTTCATCCGAGGACCAGGGCTGCCCTGCCTTTTTTTTTATTATTATTTCAAATCCTGGAGTTAATATGGAGATTTACTTCCAAGGACCTGTATTTTAAAAGGGTGTTTGAAAATATTTAAAGATCTGATCGTGGTCAAGTGCTTTGGCAGGTTGACCTGGCACCTCTTCTTCTGATCCTGCTCTTCGTGTTCTGTACCCGACAGCAGCAAAGTCACATTTTCTGCTGGACTTGTCATTGTAGCCTGTTATAGGGGATATTCTTCTTCTCTTGTAGAGCTTTCTGTTTGTCTTAAGGGCATCCAGATCAGGATCTCTTCATTTAACAGACAAAGCCAGGATGTTTTTTGAATGTGTTCCATGTGATATTTCTCAAAGTCAGGTAGTTTCTTGTCCGTGTGTTGCTAAAAATGAGGATTTTGCATGAGAATTTAGGTACTGTTCCGTTGCTGATACATCAAGTTGGAATAGAATCTGGTCCTTCATCATATGGCTGGCCAAAATTGTATTGATTATACCTGTCAGTCGCACTAAAAGGGGCTGAAATGTGTAGCCAGTACCATAAATCTATATAGGAAGCAGGTATATTGAATACAAAGACTTGCTTTCTTTCAGAATGGCCCTTCAAAAGATGCGTGGTTGAATTCTCCCTTGCTGTCAGAGTGAAATTCGGTTGTAGTCTGAGAATCTGCAGCTGTTAAATTATTTATTGGTGAGTTGTCTGCTTTTCCCCTGTCTCAGAGGAGTGGGGGGTTTTAATAGAGCTTCTCTGACTGACAGGAGACACCAGCAAATTGACTGCCCGGCTTTTATCGCTCTTACCGGTACCCGGAGTGGGGAGGGATGCATCAGCTGGAAGATTTATGGTTGGTTGTTGGGAGTAACTTAGGGAATCGTCATGGAATATGGCACAGGGCACAAGAGGATTCCCAAAATGAAGCCAGCAGCCTTGCAGACAGGGTCCCCTCTGCTATAAAGGGAGCTGGAAGTAAAAATGGGACAGGAGAAGAGGGGAGAAATAATGTTGGATGTAGAGAAACAGCACCATGATCAGGACTAGCTTTGAACTACTGAGCTGGGTGTGTTGTCACTGCTGTCTGGCTGCAAGAGGAGCTGAGATGAAGATTTGGGGGGAGAAGTTGATGAATAAGTGTTATCAGTATCAAACTTCTCATTTGTTACTGTTTGGCTTTCTTTTGCAATGGGTCTGAAAAAACGTTCTTGATGGGAAGCATGGGAAATTCCCATGGTTTGAGGATGACGTCTAGCACTCGAACCATTTCGAGCACAGTGTTACATGGAACTAATTCTCTTAAGGCTTTTTGAAAGAGAAAACACAGAATACTTGGTGTTCTATAGCCATACTTCTGACATAAATGAACTGCACGAGTCAAGGAATTGTTTTCTTGTGTAATTTAAAATAATTTCAAAAATTCTATGCAGTGAAGGCTTTGTCTATAAATGTTAATGCTCGCCTTTGAATATATCCTGATTTCCTACTGACGATTGGTAGGACCAGATTAAGACTGTGAGCCAACCCTTGTGTGCTTTACGAGACAAGATGGTAGGTTTTCCCCCTCTTTGGGCATTTAAAAGCTTTGATAATGTATTTCAGAGACTTCAACAGACAAACTCACAATGAAGAAAAAATACTCAACTCTGTATTGATTATCCTTGAAAAAACTTTGACTATTCTCTATTTCTGTGCGAAGTTATGGGTAAAGTTCCTGCTGCAGGTCAGTGCTGACTCCTTTAGCAAGAATTACACTGGGTTATATATTTGGAAATAGTATTATAAATGGAAAAGGACTATAATTTCCTTGATAATTTTTAGTTTCAAATTGTGAAATTGCATAAACTTGTAAACTGTCTCTTGGGTGTTGTAGTAGTCACTTTATGTGAAAGAAATGAAGTGCAATACTCGAGGCCTTTTTAGTGCTTCATTAATGGATTTTTCCACAACAAACGTCATGCATTTTATACTTGGGTTGGGAGCTGTGGCTTGGAGAGGAAAACAGGATGTGTCACCCAAGATGGGAATTTCAGCCTCTGTTTGAGCCCTGCACCGTTCCCACCAGCTCATTTGTGACGAGCTTGGTATTAAGGATGTCACTTAAAACACCTAAACTTGTGGAGTGTTTTTGTTAGTGTTTAAGGAGGAACAGTGAGTTTGGAGTTTGCAGAGATGCTCGGGCACATCACGGAGCCAAGGCAGGTCCCAGGGCTGGCTTCGGAGAGCAAGAGGCTGAGCAGGACGCGGCTTCTCAGAGGACATTGAGGTCGTGCTTAGTGAGGAGGTTATGTCATCTAAGTGTGCGTTCTCGACGTCTGAAATAGTTTCATGTCAAGAAATTTTTTAATCTTGTTTTCCCGTTTGACCATAGTCTGTCCATCAGAAGAATATTCCTGGTTTTGTTCCTTGGCTCTGCCTTCTCAGTTAAATTCAGAGTTGGTGTAGCAGCAATCTGCCTGATATAATCTCCCTGTGTGTTTAGCTTGCAGTCTGGTCCCTCTGCCTGTTTTGTAATGAAAGGATCTATTCCAGATGTCTTGTTTCCCATTTTGATTTTTTTAAAAACATCCATAGGTGTCATGATACAATTTTTTTTGCCACTGATCAATACTGTCTTTCTCTAAGTAAAGTTGTTGTTTTTTTTTTTCTAATTTGTTTGCTCATGCACAGTATGATTAGAAGCAAATTTAATCATATTATGGGCCCAAGTTACCTGAGTTTTCATGTGTGGAAATACAGATTCTGTAATCATGAAAGCAGGTAGGTTTGGTTATGGTATATTCAAATGGTTGTGTTCTGGGTCTAAGAGCAACCATTATTTTTACAGCAAATGAACTTGGCACTCGAACTGTGAATAAAGCTCTGAATAAAATCATTTCCAAGCTAACCTTGTCTTAATTGACAGTATACCGTGGTAACTAATTTGTAGAGGTAGGCTTAGGAGATATCACAAGGACAATCCTTTTCTCCTGCTGACACTATTCCTTCCAGCTGTCCTGGGCACACATACACAGCAGCTGAATAAGTGAAGATTAGTCTTGCAGTGTAAATTATGCATTTGTGTCTAGGGTGGAAAATTGGTCTTTGGTTGGATCTTGCCTTCTAAAAACTCAGATTGCTGATGCAATCGACACTAATGTGACAAGATTGCACCCTTAATCCTTGTTTAGTTTTTTAAATTATTTTTCCCTCCCTTCTGACTCCTTATAATTATACCACTATTTTAAGTGGCTTTTTGGTTGTTTTTGCAGGTTGGGAGGTCAACAGAAAGCCCCATAGACTTCGTAGTTACGGATACAATTTCCGGCTGTCAAAACAACGATGAGACTCAGATCACGCAGAGCACCATCTCGCGCTTCGCCTGCAGGATCGTCTGCGACAGGAGCCCGCCGTATACAGCAAGGATTTTTGCAGCTGGATTTGACTCTTCTAAAAATATATTTCTTGGTGTAAGTACTACAAATAACTTCTAAATATGAGCAGAAAATTCGTTTTTATTCTGCATTAGCTTCAAGCAGCAAAATTTACTTTTGCTAATTGATATCTTATACTGGTATTAGACTCTTCTTATTGCAGTGTATCAGCCTCAGTGTTAAGTAGCAACTGTAGTTTAAGTTTGCTTCCCATATTCTTGATACTCATTGTGAGTGTAAGTTGCTGTGATAGTTTTGGGTGCCAAAGACCAAGGACGCATCAAGCACGTGCTACAAATCAACTGTGCACGTGGCTCTAATGCTCCATTTGAGTATTTAGGATCATCTATGTTAGTACTGCCTTTAAGGTCAGTAAAGCAAGCATGAGTCTCACCTCTGCTCTGACCTGCAGTTAGGGATGCTCCTCAAGTCAGTTAAAGTAGCAAATGGCAATTGGAGGTTCATAATGGAAGTTGCTACTTAACCACTGCAAAACTTACCTAAGGAACTTAATAAAATGTTTATTTTTAAAGATCTGTCTAAGCACAGCTGGGTAGTGAAGAAATGTTACATTTTAGACACTGTTGGTAAAAGTATATAGTGTTTGGTGAATAAAACTTGACAGCGTAAAAGTTTTAGACAAACCCTTTTCTGGGGTGGTTGTGTCACATGCAGGAAAAAGCAGCAAAATGGAAAAATCCAGATGGCCACATGGATGGATTGACAACCAATGGTGTGTTGGTCATGCACCCAAAAGGGGGATTTACTGAAGAGTCCAAGCCTGGAGTGTGGCGGGAGATCTCCGTCTGTGGTGACGTGTACACCCTCCGTGAAACCAGATCCGCTCAGCAGAGGGGGAAGCTGGTAAGTCAGGAGCAAACAGGTAATTAAAACAAAGGGAAGGACATTCATTTTCTGGCACTGAATGGATGTGATCATGTTGTAACTGCAGAAGAACAGCCTTCTCCCTGGGTAGTGGGCATGGCAGTGATAGGTGTGTGCCACGGTACGTCCTGTACTGCTCTTCTCTTTCTGCTTACACAAGGAGACAGTCTTTGCTTTTTTGTTAATGCCCCTTTTCTGACTGAAGTAGCAAACAGTGCACAAACTAAATAAACCTTGTTCCAGATTCTCCATCTTTTAAGTACCTTCCTGGCACTTGGAGATCTGGAAGCTGGTACTGTGGAAAAACAGCTCTGTGTGCATGTTTCCAAAGGAAGAGTCAACTTGCCTGCAAGCCTGGTTTGGATATTTGCAGCTTCAGTTTGATTTACCTGCTGCTAGGAAAAGAACCACCTCGTTAAGGAGATTCCTGTATTATCCTACAGAGCAGGATGAGCTTTGCCTTTATCAAAGCTGAAAAGTTTCAGCTGCCACTGAGGCCTGTGGCATAAAGATCTGGGACAGAGATTCCCATGAAAATGTGCATCCATTTCTCCATAGGAGCTGGAAGGGAATCCTCATAGCTCTCCCTTTCTACCTCCCAAATCCTGGGGGCCTAGGAAGGAGGGTGCTCTCTTCATTCTTCCTCTCATCTCCTGTCCCCTCAAAGTAAAAGACAACAAAACTCCACACGTGGATACACAGCCAGCCCTGCTCACTCGAGCAGACCAGCTTCCACAGAACATTTTGGACTTCTAATTGGGACCTGGGTAGAGGAGAAGCCTGTCCGGTCTGCAGACCTGGAAAAGCCTTCATGGTTCAGCCTTGCTGCTCTTAGAGAAGAGTCTTCAGGGAGTGAGAAGGTGTTTTGAGAGCCTTTGCAGCCACGATGCCCCTTTTGCAACATCACCATCCAGCTGCTAGGCTCAAGGACTGTGAAAATTCAGCCTCAAAAGGGGCAGGTGGGGGAAGAATTCCCCTGCTCCCCTCCTCCGTGCTCAGTCTTGCTCTGTGCTGCAACCTGGAGTTCCCCTCACTTAGCTGGTGCTGTTGAGGTGTCCTGTACCTGAACAGACTTTGCAGCTTTTCCATTTACTTTGCAGAAGACTGACTGCTTAGAGGGCTGAGGAAGATGGAGTTTGAATATTTTGTTCTGCTTTCAGCAGACAGCCTGTGCTCCACAAATTGCTTTGCCACTTTAATGATGGCAGCCAAATATTGCCTCGGGGACCGGGACAGACGATGCTGCGATTGCGCCCTTTGTACGTGGTTAGCAAAACACCTTATTAGTGCTGCTAAAGAAAGGCAGTGCTAAAACAAATTCCCTCTCCTGCATCCAAAATGGCTTGAATTCTCATTTAAATAAAATTACATGGCACACTGGTACTGATGTGATCAGTATTCGCTGATTGGGTTCATAAAACCAAGCGCACACTGTATAATGAATTGAACACACTGCATACTAGGATGCTTTTTGCTCTTCTGTTTGTGAAGGAATTATCCGAGGAGTGCATCAAACCAAGGGGGTTCTCATCTCTACCAGCCCCTGAATTTTTCTGCTGGCTGCATTTTATAGTGTGACTTTATCTATAGTCTGTATTGCATCATCTACATGTTTTGTGCAAGGATGATCCACAGTAAATCTGTGAATTTCAACTGGATTAAAATGTAAATGCCAAATTGGTTGTCGTTCTTAGTATTCTCATGCAGACATGATGATTTCATGTGACCTACTTAGTGGCCAGGCTGTTTAGCTATAGTTGTATTTTCTACTTGCTTTCTATGTACAAAGCTGTGCAGCAGGTCTGTTTGCTCAGACGCATCTTTTTTAATATATATTCATCACTACTAGGCTGAGAGCTGTAGTATGAATTGCCTATATGTTTGTTGACAGTAAAATGAATTAGAGAACACTTCACTAAAGTGCAGTTGTGTTTAGCATAATCTTTTGAACATGTGTTATAAGCACCTGCTTTATTCCGATGAGAGAAATCTTTGGGCACTGTGCACACCAGGTTTGTATCTTGTAATACCTCATGGGATGCAGGGCCTGTTTTTTGGCGGGGCCGAGGAGGATGGGAAGGAGGAGGTTAATTCTCTGGAAGCCAAGCCTGTATGGCTTGAATTGCAGGAAAAATTCAGCTGGCAATTTACTTTATGCTGCAATGATAATGTCTGAGAGTGCCTGTGTGGCTGGTGTGCCACTTGTGTTCCCTTATTAATGGACCCGCAGAAAAGCGTTTTGCTGCTGCTGCTGAGCATGTGGGAGCTCGTGCTTCTGCAAAATGCTTTGCACTTGCCACGAGCCAGACATGGGTATGAGTAGCAGGACAGCTGGTCTGTCCTGGGTAGCGGTTTTTAATCCGAAGAGGATCTCCTGCTGCACGAGCATCTCTGCTCATCTCCGTGGACGAAGAATAGGAGGGATCAGCCCGGCTGCCCCGCTAATGCGGCCCTGGGGGATGGCAGTTTCCTCTTTGCACCATCAGACTTATCATAAACCTGATAGAGGCGTCCTGAAAATCAATATTGAAGAGAGAGGAAATGATAGCCCGCTGAAATGTGTGCGTGGGAGCAATTTCTGAAGAAGTTTGCATGAAGTAATTCCTTAGGAAAAACATTGCAGGAAGGAAAACTGCTCTGTGGTAACCAATATTGCTGTAGCACATAACTATAGATGCTGATTTAGGATCTTCTGTACAAGCATAGAATAAAGACTCATGCTCTGTTATAATCTTAAGTGTAGGACAGGAGATAACAGATGGATATGGAGAGGGGAGCACAAGGAAACAATAAAACAACATGAGTGAATGTTCTAGGGAGGGGTAACAGGGTGGTGAGGAAGAAGACTCCTTCCCAGAGCGCACCTAAAAGCAGCATCTCACTTACCTGCATGTTCTTGTGTTCTGCCCCAGGTGGAAAATGAGACCAACGTCCTACAAGACGGTTCTCTTATTGACCTGTGTGGAGCCACCCTTCTGTGGAGAACAGCAGATGGACTGTTCCACACCCCGACTCAGAAGCACATCGAGGCTCTGCGGCAGGAGATAAACGCTGCCAGGCCCCAGTGCCCCGTGGGGCTCAACACGCTAGCGTTTCCCAGCATCAACCGTAAGGAGGTGGTAGAAGAGAAGCAGCCCTGGGCATACCTCAGCTGTGGTCACGTTCACGGCTATCACAACTGGGGACATCGCAGTGACACAGAAGCCAACGAGCGGGAATGTCCCATGTGCAGAACCGTTGGTCCCTACGTGCCTCTTTGGCTTGGTTGCGAAGCAGGTTTTTACGTGGATGCTGGTCCTCCAACTCATGCTTTCACCCCATGTGGACATGTGTGCTCTGAGAAGTCTGCAAAATACTGGTCTCAAATCCCTCTGCCTCACGGTACTCATGCATTTCATGCTGCCTGCCCTTTTTGTGCAACACAGCTGTCTGGGGAGCACAACTGCATCAAACTAATTTTTCAGGGTCCAATTGACTGAATATCATTTTGCGATGATTAAAATAACATGTTCTTTAACAACTTACTGTGAAGTTTTTTGCCACTAACTCTAGATTTTACCTTTTTTTATAATGTTATTAATAGGGTGGTTGGGTGGGGACAGGGAGCTGACAGGGACATTGTGAGGGACCGCGGTGAAGTGGGATGCATTGATACCTGGAACTTGGCAGATATCAGTGGTGTTGCATGCTCAGAAGCAGCATAGTCATGAAGTCTTCTTGGTCAAATCCTAGTATATTTGTAATCTTTTTATTAGCACCCTGGATCAGAAAAAAAGGTGTCTTACTGATTTTTTTAAGCTAAGATTTTTTTAATGGAAAGGTTTTTTCTTCTAAACTTTGACAAGCCTTTAAAGCCTATTTTTCAAAGCTAGAAGGAACGTACAGAATGTAACTGTCTTTAATTTGCAATATAATTTAACTTGAATAGTTTCTCAAGGAGCTAATATAGAATGTGTGGACAACCATAGGTGAATGTTCACTAGAGATAATTGGTTATGTAAGAGAAGTTAGCTGCCTAAATTGTAGAGTATAAATGCTATTAAAATATCTCTTATGGTGTAACACAGCTGGCCAAAAAGGCATCAAGGATTACTTGAAACTGAGGAAATCCTGTTTGCATTGATTTCCTTTCAGCGTAGTAGATATCCACTGTTCGTTATGTGTGGAATATGGCCCTTCTGTTTGACTTCTTTTGTGTTTTTTTTTTTTTTTTTTTAAATCTGCATTTGGTTAAATTGCTTTTCTTTTTTTTTTTTTTCTCCTTCTTTCTAACATATGTAGTTGTGTTTTTCAAGCCAGTATTCTCTATATGTATAGTCTGGCCTCTTTACTTCTGCTTAGCCTGCCCTAGCTGCTCCTTGCATGCCCAGAACCATTGGGTTAATTAAAATGTAGCAAGCCTTTAAAAATTGCATTACTGAAGGGGTAGTACTGCGGCAGGACGACAGTTTAGGTACTATTTATGCAGAATTTATTTACATAGACCTGAATTCAAGAAAGCACTAGTATGTGTTTAAAAATAAGCCCAGGGATGGGACTGTTGAGTTTCTCAAGTGCTTCGATGGATTGTGGTTCTACGCTGTTGTGTTTCAAAATAAAAAGCAATTAAAATAAGCTTTTTAAGCTCACTTACTAGCCAAAATGCTGTGAGAAGAGCATCCTTTCTAGCTCAACTGAGTATTTTTGATCCATTTTCAACTTGCTGCCATCTGTCACCTTTTTTTGTTTGTTTTGCAGATTGAGATGTGTTTGTATCTTTTTTTTTCAAATGTTTGCAAATCAAACAGAATTCAAATGTAATCAAATATATGCATCGGGGTGGTACATCTGAAGCAGATCACTTGAAATTCCTGACTTTTCAAGGGACCGTGTGAATGTTTACTATGAAAATAATTAAATCAGAAATTCATATGAGATGTACCCCTCCTACTGCTGGTTTCATTTCATGTAGAATAATTACTCCTTGATTATTCTTTTCTTTCTATACTCTTGGTATCTGAGGTATCAATATATCCAGGTTTAAATATAAAAAATTGGGAGAAAAATCATAACATCGCTAGATGAAAATGATCATTCAAATTGAGTTCTGCTTAATCAGCCATAGCTTTTGGCTATATTTGTGCCCTTTGTATAAATATATAATTTATATGATTTTAATATATTCTGTATATATACTTGAATTGGCCTGTTCATATTTTGGTTGTAAAATTGTTTTATAGTTTACCTTATAAACATTTTGCGTGTCCCTCGCCGATGGTTGTGGGACATACTTTGTCTGCTGCTGTTTTTAATATAATTTTGCTGTATAAATGTTCAGCATTTTAATACTTTGAAAATAGCTTTACTTTTCTTTTTCTTCTTTGGCTGTAAAGACAAAAGTTTTGTTCTGTAGCATTTTTTCTAAAAATCCTATACTGTACAGTTTTCCTCCCACTCAGTGATTGCAAATAGGATGAATCCTGTTAACCTAAAACTGTATGCTTCTTCCTAGTGCCTTTTCAATGAGATCCTCTTGTGATTCCATATTCCAAGTCCTTATTCCCACAAGGCAGTCTTGTGGCTGATCTTCACGGAGAACGGCAGCCCCACGGGACCGGGAACGAAGGGCCTTCTTCCCAAACCTTCTCCTGCGGGTGCCTCTTCCCTCCGTGTCTTTGGCAGCAGCTCCTCAGGTCCCGCGCGCGCTCTGCTCTTCAGCATATACCTCATCCGCGAGAGGCAGCCTCTCCTCCTCCTCCGTAGGGGACTCTGAAACACCCAAGTCATTCCACAAGCGCTGCTGGAGACACGTGGTTTTGGGAAGCTTTCTTGGCACGTGCCGAGCCTGAGGGCCCCTTCTCCCGCCCTCCTTCCTGCCGAGCTCGGGCCCGCCGGGATTTGCGAGCGGGGGCTCCCCCTGAGGTAACCGGGCTGTGAAGGGGCGGCTTCCAGGGCAATTCCTTGTGGAGCTGCTCCGCTCTCTTCCTTTTGCGGCTCCGTTGCTGCTTTGGGGCCTCATGTCCCCATGTGAAGTGTGAGGGGAGCCCCGGCCGGCCAGGCCTGCGCGAGGGGCGGCCGGCGCCGTCGGATCAGGGAAGGGGCCTTCCCAAAGAGCCTCGTTCGGGTGTTTCTACCTCTCCAGCAGTCCTGTGGTGACGCAGGAAACCCCGCAGGAAGGAGCAGTCCCCTCCTACCCGGTGATCCCCCTTCCACAGCTCTTTTGCACAAATCCAGGTACTTTGCCGTTAATCTGTACTCAAAGCCAGGGCAGGTCCCAGAGTTTACTGGGAAAGCTATGGAGTTTTTAGCGTTTTTTTTCCCTCAAGCAGCACTTTGTGTGCTGCTGTGCTCAAACAAAGAACTGTTTGGCTGCTTGGAGGGAGCAAACTTGAGAACTGCGCTCAAACTTTACTTTCTGGAGGTTATTCCATGTGTTACCGTGTTTCTTGCCTACCATTCCAAGAGCTGGCAATCACGTGCTCTGTAAGCATTGTTTTTTTCACCTGTTGATTTTATTTGTATGCTTCAAAAAACAGCTTTTGCTGCATAACTTTTAGCTTAAAAGTATTTTTCTAGACCGATCTGAAAAATAAAAGAAAATCCGTCTGGTACCCATATACTGGAGCTGTAACATTTTCTGCTTTCCTGTCTCCTGGCAGCTTCTCGGGAAAGTGCTGAAGTCTGAGGAGCGGAGTCAGCAGGGAGTTGTGTTCTTGTTTGAGTTGTGGTCCACGTTGTACAAAACCCCCCTAGCACAGCACAGTGTTTTATTCCAGAGCCTTTTTTCCCAAGTGTGCTCCCTCTGTGCCTCCGGGTAGTTGGTTTAATAGCTAAGGAAGGAATTTTAAGGAGTTTTTCTCCGGGGATGGGCACAGGGCTCGAGGAGAAGGGAGCCTTTGGCAGGCTGCTTTCCTGAGGGACACGGGCCCACCTGGAAGCAAAGACATGTCAGGAAGGGACTGGAAAAGGGACTGTATCAGTTCCCCCCTTTAGAGCTTAGAAAGGATGTCCCGTGGGTCCACAGGGAGCTCCAGGGTCAGTGCGAAAGGCTCTGCTCCTCTGAACAAAAAATGACCAAAAAAATTATTAAAATGACCAATGGCTTTGGTCATTTTAATGACAAAATCTGGACTTGTAGGATTGCGTTTCAGAGCCCGGCCAGGGAGCAGAGGGGCTGAGCGTGAGCGTCCCCAAAACACGGAGCGTCCAGCGATGAGAAACCAGCTACTCTGTGAGCAGAAAACGGTTCTTTCCTCCGCATTGCACCCAAACCAAACTATGGGCTTGAGCTGGGGTATCTCCTTGTGCTGCTGCGGTCGCTGGTAAACCTCCTGCTTGCCATTTCTGGTCACTGTATCCCCTCAGAAGAGCAAAGGCTTCTCCACGGGTCACATCTCTGTCCATCCAGCTCTTGGTCTGCACGTGCTTTGGGAGTCGAAGTGTTGGTAGAGACCTGGCCATCGCTGGAACAGATGTAGGGCATTTAAATGTGGTTTTAGCTTGAGAAAGCCGACCTGGCTTAACTCCTGTTCCTGTTTAAAGGTGAGCTGCAGTAACCCTTCTGCAGCAGGCCGTGCCTGCCCTTATTCCTTGGGAAGCATCATAGCATGGCAGCTGAGGAGACTTGGATTCCCTGTGGATTTTGGTAGCTCACTGCGTTGATGTGGAGCAAAAGCTCCTCTGGAATCGGCAATTAGAGCCACTGATCCCCAAGCAGGTGGGAAGCAGCTCAGCGTTGGGTGCTGGAGATGGAGAACGTGCACAGCCCAAACGGTTTGGGATATTCTGGGCAAGGATTCTTCCTTCTTTTTGTTTGCTCCATTTTCAATCTCTTGTGCAATCTTCATTCCTGTCATCGGCCATTCATCCCTTTAGCAGCAAGTAAATATAACTTGGAGAGTAAAACTGAGTCTAAAAAGACACTTTCAAGCTTGCTCCTCTCTTCAGGGGAAATACAAGTGTGAGTCTGGCAATTCTGTCATTATTCTGATTTTGCAGACAGTCTTCACACTTACTTGTGAATTAAAAGGAAAAATGTAGATATTGAGGCTGGTTTGGGGATGGGGGGTGGAAATCTAAGACCAAAAGTAGCCAAAATTCTGCAGACTTAGTGCAAATGAAGCCTCGTTGACTGCAGCAGACATTTTGCTCGTGCAAGAACTGCAGAATTAGCCTCTGATGGGCAGCAAAGATGCAACTTTATTCAAATAGAGTTTTGTGTTTGCTGGCAGCAGAACAACACCAACTTGCTCAGACCACTGAATTACAGAAGAAACCCTTGGCTATCTATTTCTTTTTTTCCTTCCTTTTTCCCCCTCTTTTTTTCTTTTAACAGGGCATATTTATAATTTCCTGACGGGCAAGCCAAGTCTTCAGCCACGTGGAAATGCCTCGTGCTCGTGTCGCGACAGGATAACCGGTCGTGGATAAGGGGTCGCTTAGGGATGAGTATTGGTTTTCTGGGATCAAACGCGTGACGAGGAGCCCCTGGAAGGCTCCTGCGTCGGGATGGAACCTTGGGAAGGGCCCTCCGGTGCAGGGAAGTGACAGTGTCAGCAGCTCTGCAGCCTCTGGGCACATTTGTAAAATTGCTCTTTTATACACTATGTAAAATGGACTGAAATAATTTCTTTGCTGTTGTACCTGTGGAAGTACAAGCCATTTTGCAGGAAAAAAAATGAAAAAAAAATTAAAACATTATCTCAGTATTGACTTTGACTCCCTTACTGTAGTTTTTTCCTCCTGCTCTTGCTTTGGTGGTCATTAGGGTTTAACCTAGAGTTGGAAAAAACAAAAACACATGGAAAACTTTAGGAGAAACCAAGTTTGTTTTTGCCTTTTTGCACTTTCTTTTCCTCAAGAAACAACAACCATCCCCCTTTGACTGATGATTCTGGAGCACTCGGTGGTGCAGCTGTGAGTGCCCTGAAATTTCGCTCGATTCCCTTCCCTGCGTTTTTTAAATTGAGCTGTTTATCTTCAACGCCAACTACCTTCTTGCTCCGTTAATGTAATTGCTAAATAAAAACAACTTTCAGGAATAATATGCTTCATAACTCTTAAAATTAATTTCCACTGTGGTAATTCAATGTTTTATTTGTTGCATCTTTTTTTTCCCCTTTCTGTGTGCAGTCCCCAAATACATTAAGCATTTTTTTTCCAACAAGAGTTGAAATGGATTGTTTTATCTTTTTTCTTTTTTTTTTGGTAAGTGGCAAAAATGCTGGCGTGAACATAGGAAAGGGAAATAAAAATATCTGCAG